TTTTTGTGTTTTTTTTTTTTTTTTTTTAAATTTTTTTTTTTTTTTTTTTAAATTTTTTTTTTTTTTTTTTTAAATTTTTTTTTTTTTTTTTTTAAATTTTTTTTTTTTTTTTTTTAAATTTTTTTTTTTTTTTTTTTAAATTTTTTTTTTTTTTTTTTTAAATTTTTTTTTTTTTTTTTTTCCAGAGGGTTGGGAAAAGGAATCTGAGTGTTCCAAACCAGGTGAAATAAATTCCGTTGAATGGTCCAACTTTGGCATAAAGGGATGGAAAATTTGGGGAGATTTGAAGGGGGGGCAGGGCAGTGGAAGTTTCCCTCCATCCCTTTTTTTTTGTTTTGTTTTTGTTTGGTTTTTTTTTTTTTTTAAATTTTTTTTTTTTTTTGTGAATTTTTTTTTTTTAATTAATTTTTTTTTTCTTTCTTTTTTTTTTTTTTTACAATGCACCGGGGAAAACCATCACCAAAAAAAAAAAAAAAAAGAAAGAAAAAAAAAATTAATTAAAAAAAAAAATTCCAATCTCAGTTTAGCAAAATAAATGCAATTATTACCAAACACTTTGATTATTACTTAAATTGTCAAGCTGTGCTGTCGACAGTAACGATACAGAGTTAAAGGAGAACAAGACTGGGACACCCCAAAAAAAAAAGGCCACAAAATTTCCCCCCCTTTTCCCCCCCCCCTCCCCTCTCCCCTCCTGGATGCGCTGCTGGAACCTCATTTCCCTTAATTAGCGTGATTATTAATTAATAATAACAAGGATATTATTATGAATGAACGGTATTAAGATGGTTTTTTTTTATATTATTGTTGTTTTTAAGGGGTGGGGAAGCCCTTTTGGAGGTGGCATTGATTGTCTCTGAGCAGAGGTGACACTTTGGGGACAAGGCCAGCAGGGAGGGGTGGGCTTCCTCCTCAGAGCAAAAAAAAAAAAAAAACCCAAAAAATCAAAATAACACCCCAAAAACAACCCCTGAAATGAGAAAAGCAGAGTTTTCCACGAGCTGGGTAAAAGGGGAATGGTGAGAAATCCTCTCGAAAGGAGGGCAGGGATGGAAATGGGAATCCCCCAAAAAATACCCAAAAATCCCCCAAAAAATCCCCAAAATCTCAGGGTTTTTGGAGGGGGGATTGGGGGAATTCCTGCTGGGGAAAGGGAAGGAGCTGCAGGAAAATGTAAACAAGTTCTCTCTGGTTTTGTGGGGTTTTTGTGGGTTTTTTTTTTCCAGTTCTCAGGGCAGGGATGGAAATGGGAATCCCCCAAAAAATACCCAAAAATCCCCCAAAAAATCCCCAAAATCTCAGGGTTTTTGGAGGGGGGATTGGGGGAATTCCTGCTGGGGAAAGGGAAGGAGCTGCAGGAAAATGTAAACAAGTTCTCTCTGGTTTTGTGGGGTTTTTGTGGGGTTTTTTTTTCCAGTTCTTCTCCGTAGAATATTGGAAAAGAGGAAAAAAAAAGGGAAAAGAGCTTTCAAAAAAAAGGGAAAAGAACTTAAAAAAAAAAGAAAAGAGCTTTCAAAAAAAAAGGGAAAAGAGTCAAAATAAAGGGAAAAGAGCTTTCAAAATAAGGGAAAAGAGCTTCAAAAAAAGGGAAAAGAGATTCAAAAAAAAGGGAAAAAGGCCTTCAAAATAAAGGGAAAAGAGCTTTCAAATAAAAGGGAAAAGAGATTCAAAAAAAAGGGAAAAAGGCCTTCAAAATAAAGGGAAAAGAGCTTTCAAATAAAAGGGAAAAGAGATTCAAAAAAAAGGGAAAAAGGCCTTCAAAATAAAGGGAAAAGAGCTTTCAAATAAAAGGGAAAAGAGATTCAAAAAAAAGGGAAAAAGGCCTTCAAAATAAAGGGAAAAGAGCTTTCAAATAAAAGGGAAAAGAGATTCAAAAAAAAGGGAAAAAGGCCTTCAAAATAAAGGGAAAAGAGCTTTCAAATAAAAGGGAAAGGATCTTTCAAAAGGAAAAGAATCTGTCAAATAAAAGAAAAAAGATTTTTCAAAAAAAGGATTTAAAACAAACAAAAAAAAAAAAAAGAAAAAAACTAACAGCATAAATATGTGAAACAGGTTGACCTTAAATGTCCTTATCCCCAACCTGTTGGAAGGTCTTTCTTTCTTATGGTTTACTTCTATACTTAGGCTGACTGGAAATTATGATAACCATCCACAGAAATCTTGTTAAAGAATCTAAAATTGCTCTGTCATGCACCTGAGCCCACAGCATGTGCTAATAATGGGTGAGATTGCTAAAATCCTCACCAACTTTTCTCTACATGAGAAAACTGTTGAGCAACAGACACATCCAAATCAATATCCCCAGTGGAGTAGGAGAGCTTGTGGCACCAGTCAGCATCTTCCCTCAGCCATTAAAATTTGAAGAACCATTCAGCAGCAGCTGATAAAAAAAAGACAAGAGAAAAGAAAAAAAAGAAAAAAAAAAGGAAAAGATGTTCTGAAAAAAGGAAAAGGAGCTTTCAAAAGGAAAAAAGAAAAGAGAAGAGGATCTTCCAAAATAAGGGAAAGGATCTTCCCAAAGAAGGAAAAGAATCTTTCAAAAAAAGGAAAATTATTAAAAAAAAAAGATTAAAAAAAAAAAAGGAAAAGATGTTCTGAAAAAAGGAAAAGGAGCTTTCAAAAGGAAAAAAGAAAAGAGAAGAGGATCTTCCAAAATAAGGGAAAGGATCTTCCCAAAGAAGGAAAAGAATCTTTCAAAAAAAGGAAAAATATTAAAAAAAAAAAGATTAAAAAAAAAAGGAAAAGATGTTCTGCAAAAAGGAAAAGGAGCTTTCAAAATAAGGAAAAATTCATTTGAGAAGAAGGAAAAAGTCCTTTGAAAAAAGGGAAAGGATCTTTCAAAATAAGGAAAAACTCATTTGAGAAAAAAGGAAAAAAAACTTTTAAAAAAAAGAAAAATATTAAAAAAAAAAAATTAAAAAAAAAAAAGGAAAAGATGTTCTGAAAAAAGGAAAAGGAGCTTTCAAAAGGAAAAAAGAAAAGAGAAGAGGATCTTCCAAAATAAGGGAAAGGATCTTCCCAAAGAAGGAAAAGAATCTTTCAAAAAAAGGAAAATTATTAAAAAAAAAAGATTAAAAAAAAAAAAGGAAAAGATGTTCTGAAAAAAGGAAAAGGAGCTTTCAAAATAAGGAAAAATTCATTTGAGAAGAAGGAAAAAGTCCTTTGAAAAAAGGGAAAGGATCTTTCAAAATAAGGAAAAATTCATTTGAGAAGAAGGAAAAAGTTCTTTGAAAAAAGGGAAAGGATCTTTCAAAAGAAGAGAAAGGATTTTTCAACAGAAGGAAAAGGATTTCCCAAAAAAAAGAGCTTTTTTTGTCTTTTTTTTGATTCAAGTTTCGAGTTCTGAGCTGAGGTATCCGGTGCAAAAAAAGGGGCAGAGCTTCTTTTTGGGATGGGGGGAGCAGGGAGGGGTTTTATCCCAAAAAAAAAGGGAAACCCCTCAGATCCCTGCCCCTCTCAAGTGCCTGCATCTCCCCCAGGGTGAATTTTGTTGAGTGCTTGGGGTGGGGGAGCCCTGAAGGAAAAATGTGCTTTTCACCCAAAGGCCAAGACTGAAACTTCATATTTGGTACAAAAAAAGTTTTGGCTTTGGTTCGAAATTAAAATCAAAATTAAAATCAGTGCCAGGGGTTCCCCCCAGAAGAGCTCCACGAGGGGAGTTCAGCTGCAAATGGTTGGAAAAGGAAAGGAAAAGCAAGAAAAAAAATCGAATTTTGGTTATAGAAATGCCCTTTTCTCCAGGGTGAGGAGCTTGGAGGTTCCTGAAATTCCCAAAATTCTTGAAATTCCTGGAATTGCTCCAGCCCCTTCCTCTCTGCATCCCCGTCTTTGGCTTTGAGCAGACTCGTGGGAAGGAGGGAAAATTTGTTTTTTTTGAGGCTGTTACAGTAAGTCAGAAGGAAAAATGAAAAGAAAACCAACAACAGTGCAACATTCTCCAATGCTTCGGACCTGCAGCATGACCAGGATTTCCAAAAATTCAAATTAAAACGAAAAATGAGAAGCTAAACCAAAAAAAAACAACTGATCCCACTCACGTCCACGAAATCTGCCAGGATGCTGCATCCCAAAAATATCAAGGACTTGCAAGTGCATTTGTTTCCTTAGGAAAGGCTAAAATGTTGAATTGTAATTTTTTTTAAATGGTTTTTGTTGTTTTTTTAAAGGTAAATGCTCGTTTCTCTATAAATAATTCTCTTTTTTTTTTTTAAGAAAAAAATAAACAATCAAGCAACCAACACTGACTCTCTCAGGGAAATGGCCACACAAACCAGGGGGGGAAAAAAGCAATTTTTAGGATTTGATAAATTGGCAAAAGGAGGGGGAAAAAACAAAAAAAAACCCTAAAAAAAAGGAAAAACCAACAGAATCCCTAAAGTGCCTGGTGTGGGGAGGAGGCTCCAGCGGGGCACCCGCTTTTGTTTTCCCTAAAATGAGCTGCCAAAGGATTTTTAGTGTGCCAGGTACAGTAGATTTGGGTTTTTTCAAGTGTTTTTTTTTTGTGGGGCACGAGGAGAGGAGAGGAGAGGGGAGATTCCCACCCTGGCTGGATATAAATCCCCAAATTCCCAAAAATTCCCACCCTGGCCAAGAGTTGGGGTTTGTTCTGATCCCAGCTGAGCTGAGGGGTGGGAGGGAATTCCTGGGATTTCCTGGAGGGAAATGCTGGGAGTGAAATGAAAACCAAAATGGAATTTTGTTCCCTTGGGAAGGGGACAAAAACTCTGGGAAGGAAAGGTTGGGAATGAAACAAAAAGGTTGGGAAGGAAATAAAAATATTGGGAAGGAAACACAAGGAATGAAACACCAGGAATGAAAGAAAAATGCTGGGAATGAAACAGTAACACTGGGAAGGAAACAAAAACTCTGGGAATGAAACAAAAACATTGGGAAGGAAACAAAAATGGTGGGAAGGGAACAGCAGGAATGAAACAAAGATGCCAGGGGGGAAACAAAACTCTGGGAAGGAAAGAAAAGCACCGGGGAGGAAATGGCTCCCATCAATCCCTCGGGAGGGCCCCGCAGGCCGGCACCGGCACCGGGAGGGCCCCGCAGGCCGCCGCCGCCGCCGCCTTGGCCGCGATGCCGCAGTTCGTGAGGAGGCTGAGGCTGAAGGAGCCGAGCGCGTCCTTGGGCGGGAAAGGCTTCATGGTGGAGAGGATCAGTGCCAGGCAGTCGGCCACGTCCTTGTTGGGGGCACACGCCAGGGCTGGGGTGTGACCTGAGGGACGGAGCCGGCCGTGAGGGGTGAGGGGTGTGGGGTGGGGAATGGGGTGTGGGACTGGGAATGGGGTGTGGGGTGGGGAATGGGGTGTGGGACTGGGAATGGGGTGTGGGATGGGGAATGGGGCGTGTCAGGGTGCCCCGGGCGGCTGTGGCTGAGCCCGTCCCGGGCTCCGGGCGCTCCCCAGGGTGCTGCAGTCCCTCGGCAGCCCCGGGGGCACACGCACCTTCTTCATCCACAGCCAGCACGGTGGCCCCGCGGCTGAGCAGGGCCTGCACCACCGAGGCCAGGCCGTTCCTCGCCGCGATGTGCAGCGGCCTGGGGAGGGACAAAGCATTGCAACCCCTGAATGCCACCCTAAAACCTCACCCCAAAACCCTAACAGAAAATCCCACCCCAAATCTCACCCCAAAACCCATCCAAAATCCACCCCAAAATCTCACCCAAAACCCTACCAGAAAATCCCACCCCAAATCCCATCCAAAATCCCACCCCAAATGCTAGCAGAAAACCCCACCCAAAATCCCACCCCAAAACCCTACCACAAAATCCCACCACAAAACCCCACAGAACACCCCCTGCCAAAATATTTTGAGTGGGTTCAAGGGCAGGCTCGTGGCTCGCCCGTTCACACATTTCCCAGTTTTCCGAACTCATGATCTGTTTATTGTTTTCCCTTTCCAAACTCTCCCATTCCCATTCCCCCCATTCCCATTCCCCCATTCCCAGTTCCCCCAGCTGTGCAAACACTCACATCTGCAGAGCACTGTTACTTGCATTGATAAGGCCAAGGTCTTGGGTTTCCCCCAGGATCAACAAGGCACACTTTTCATGGCCCTGGGGACACACAGGGACACTCAGGGCAGCAGAACCATTCCCTGAACTGCCCTCCTCCCCCAGGTCACCCTGGCACCTGCTGTCCCCCCACCTTTCCCTCCTCGGCGTGGACAAAGTGACCACAAGCCTCTGGGTGCCACCATGGCTCAGGAGTGACCACCATGGCTTGGACAAAGTGACCACAAGCCTCTGGTACCACCATGGAATGGACAAAAAGACCACCATGGAATGGACAAAGTGACCACCATGGAATGGACAAAGTGACCACCATGAGTTGGCCAAAGTGTTCACAAGCCTCTGGGTGCCACCATGGCTCAGGAGTGACCACCATGGCTTGGATAAAGTGACCACAAGCCTCTGGTTGCCACCATGGAATGAACAAAGGGACCACAAGCCTCTGGTTGCCACCATGGAATGAACAAAGTGACCACAAGCCTCTGGTTGCCATCACAGGTTGCTCCCATGGCTTGGGAGTGACCACCATGGCTTGGATAAAGTGACCACAAGCCTCTGGTTGCCACCACAAGTTGGACAAAGAGACCATCATGGAATGGACAAAGTGACCACCATGGAATGGACAAAGTGACCATGAGCCCCTGGCTGCCACCATGGAATGGACAAAGTGACCACGAGCCCCTGGTTGCCATCATGGAATGGACAAAGTGACCACAAGCCTCTGGTGCCACCATGGCTCAGGAGTGACCACCATGGCTTGGATAAAGTGACCACGAGCCCCTGGCTGCCACCATGGAATGGACAAAGTGACCACCATGGGTTGGACAAAGTGACCACAAACCTCTGGTGCCACGATGGCTCAGGAGTGACCACCATGGCCTGGATAAAGTGACCACAAGCCTCTGGTTGCCACCAAGGGTTGGACAAAGTGACCACCATGGAATGGACAAAGTGACCACCATGGCTTGGGAGTGACCACCATGGGTTAGACAAAGTGACCACGAGCCCCTGGTTGCCATCATGGAATGGACAAAGTGACCACAAGCCTCTGGCTGCCACCTTGGAATGGACAAAGTGACCACAAGCCTCTGGCTGCCACCGTGGAATGGGCAAAGGGACCACAAGCCTCTGGGTGCCACCATGGCTCAGGAGTGACCACCATGGCTTGGATAAAGTGACCCCAAGCCTCTGGTACCCCCATGGAATGGACAAAGTGACCACGAGCCTCTGGTTGCCACCACGGGTTGGACAAAGTGACCACCATGGCTTGGGAGGGACCACCATGGGGTAGACAAAGTGACCACCATGGAATGGACAAAGTGACCACGAGCCTCTGGTTGCCAGCATGGAATGGACAAAGTGACCACAAGCCCCTGGTTGCCACCTTGGAATGGACGAAGTGACCACAAGCCTCTGGTGCCACCATGGAATGGACAAAGTGACCACCATGGGTTGGACAAAGTGACCACAAACCTCTGGTGCCACGATGGCTCAGGAGTGACCACCATGGCCTGGATAAAGTGACCACAAGCCTCTGGTTGCCACCAAGGGTTGGACAAAGTGACCACCATGGAATGGACAAAGTGACCACCATGGCTTGGGAGTGACCACCATAGGTTAGACAAAGTGACCACGAGCCCCTGGCTGCCACCACGGCCCAGGGGACACCCAGGTGCCAGAGGTGCCACCCAGGCCGCCCATGTCCCCACCTTGCTGCAGGCCAGGTGAAGAGCTGTGTTCTTGTTGACATCCAGCACAGTAATATTTGCTTTTGCTTGGAACAGCAGGAACTCTGCAAGGAGGAGGAGGAGGAGGAGGAGAAGAACTGGTGAGGAAGAGGCAAAAAATGTCCCCAGAGCCTGCCAGGAGAGGGGACAGCTGTGTCCCCTCCTCTGGGAGGAGCAGCACCCGGTGCCCCAGGTTTAGATTTTGTATTTTTCAGATTTTGTGCTGCTTTAGGCTGTAGTTCTGACATTCAAGGTGTGGTGCCTCACGTTTAGATTCGATATTTTTCAGAATCATTTTGGGGTAAAGTTCCCCTTTCAGCCCAGCCCAACCCAACCCATCCTGGGGGCTCCAAACCCCAGAATCATTTTGGGGTAAAGTTCCCCTTTAAGCACAGCCCAGAGGCTTCAAGGCATCGAAATATTGGAATTATTTTGGGATAAAACCCCCCCTTCCAGCCCCTCCAGGGTCTCCAAATCCCAGAATCATTTTGGGGCGAAGTTCCCCTTTCAGCCCAGCCCAACCCAACCCATCCTGGGGGCTCCAAACCCCAGAATCATTTTGGGGTAAAGTTCCCCTTTAAGCACAGCCCAGAGGCTTCAAGGCATCGAAATATTGGAATTATTTTGGGATAAAACCCCCCCTTCCAGCCCCTCCAGGGTCTCCAAATCCCAGAATCATTTTGGGGTGAAGTTCCCCTTTCAGCCCAGCCCAACCCAACCCATCCTGGGGGCTCCAAACCCCAGAATCATTTTGGGATAAAACTCCTCTCCCAGCCCCTACAGGAGCTCCAAACCCCAGAACTCTGGGGGTCCAGGTGCCCCCAGCCCCTCCAGCCCCCCCAGCCCCCCAGGGTCCAGGCGCCGCGGTGCCGCACCCAGCGCCGCCGTGTGCCCGTGCTCCGATGCCACCATCAGGGGGGTCCTGCCCATCTTGTCGGCCGTGTCCACCTGGGCCTGGTGGCGCAGCAGCAGCTGCAGCCCGCGGACGTTGTCTGCGAAGGCAGCGGCGTGAAGGGGGGTCCTGGGGGCAGAGGGGGGGCTCAGGCTGCAGCCGCGTTCCTCATTGACAGCTTTCAGATTGGTCACGATTTGCATTCATGTTCTCAATTGAATTGAAAATTTCTATTTTGTTTTAAAATTTTATTGTGTGTTGTTTTTGGTTTATTTTAATTTATGTTATTTTATGTTATTTTACTTTTATTTTATTTTACTTTATTTTATTTTATTTCATTTTATTTCATTTTATTTCATTTTATTTCATTTTATTTCATTTTATTTCATTTTATTTCATTTTATTTCATTTTATTTCATTTTATTTCATTTTATTTCATTTTATTTCATTTTATTTCATTTTATTTCATTTTATTTCATTTTATTTCATTTTATTTCATTTTATTTCATTTTATTTCATTTTATTTCATTTTATTTCATTTTATTTCATTTTATTTCATTTTATTTCATTTTATTTCATTTTATTTCATTTTATTTCATTTTATTTCATTTTATTTCATTTTATTTCATTTTATTTCATTTTATTTCATTTTATTTCATTTTATTTCATTTTATTTCATTTTATTTCATTTTATTTCATTTTATTTCATTTTATTTCATTTTATTTCATTTTATTTCATTTTATTTCATTTTATTTCATTTTATTTCATTTTATTTCATTTTATTTCATTTTATTTCATTTTATTTCATTTTATTTCATTTTATTTCATTTTATTTCATTTTATTTCATTTTATTTCATTTTATTTCATTTTATTTCATTTTATTTCATTTTATTTCATTTTATTTAATGTTATTTTTATTTTATGCCATTTTTAAATTTTATTTTATGTTGTTTTTGGTTAATTTTAATTTATGTTATTTTATGTTATTTTACTTTTATTTTATTTTACTTTATTTACTTTATTTCATTTTATTTCATTTTATTTAATGTTATTTTTATTTTATGCCATTTTTAAATTTTATTTTATGCCATTTTTAAATTTTATTTTATGTTATTTTACTTTTATTTTATTTTACTTTATTTTTATTTTATTTTATTTTATTTTATTTTATTTTATTTTATTTCATTTCATTTTATTTTATTTTATTTTATTTCATTTTATTTTATTCTATTAAAAAATTATTTCATAAATTTCACATTTTCACAGCATGGATGGTGAGGGTTAAAGTTTGAGCTTTTATATTTTCATTACAGTCATATTTTTATTTTATAGTTTTTACATTAATAATGTTTGAAATGAATATTTTTAATTTAATTTAAAATTTTTATTTTATTTTAAAATTTTATTTTATGTTATTTTTATTTTATTTTATTTTAATTTTAATTTAATTTAATTTTATTAATGTATTTATTTACATATTTATTATTTAATATCTATAGTATAATAATGCATATATTTCTTTATATATTTATTTTATATACATATAATTTTAAAAACCCTCGTTTTTATTTATTTATTTATCATTTTAATTTATATATAATTGTATAAAACTCGTGACTCTGAGTCCATCCTGGCTGCAGCCCTGCTGGGCTCTTTCAACAAACCCACAATCCTTACTAGAATAATAATTAAAGAAATTAGGAATCAATCAATATTAATAAAGTAAAATTAACAAATTAAATTATTAATTTAATACCTTATTTAATAAATTAATACATTTAATAAATTATTATAAAGTAAAATATAATAATTTAATGAATTAATAAATCCTAATTATTCTATTAACAATTAAATTCTTAATACATTAATATCAATAATATAAAAATTCTATTATAAAAATTATTATATAAAAATTAAAGTATAAATAAAATAATAAACTAAAATAATAAAATAATAAACTAAATTATTTTAATGAATTATAGTAGTTTAATAGATTAATAAATCCTAATTATTCTATTAACAATTAAATTCTTAATACATTAATATCAATAATATAAAAATTCTATTATAAAAATTATTATATAAAAATTAAAGTATAAATAAAATAATAAACTAAAATAATAAAATAATAAACTAAATTATTTTAATGAATTATAGTAGTTTAATAGATTAATAAATCCTAATTATTCTATTAACAATTAAATTATTAATAAATCAATATCAATAATATAAATTATATTATAAAAATTATTGTATAAAAATTAAAATACAAATAAATTAAAATAAAGTAAAACAAATTACTATAATAAATTATAATAATGTAATCAATTAATAAACCCTAATGATTCTATTAAACATTAAATTCTTAATACATTAATAGCAATAATATAAAATTATATTATAAAATTATTATATAAAAATTAAAATGCAAATAAATTAAAATAATCAATTAAAATAATGAATCAAAATAATAAATTCAATTATAATCAATTATAATAATGTAATAATTTATTAAATCCTAATGATTCTATTAACAATTAAATTATTAATAAATCAATATCAATAATATAAATTATATTATAAAAATTATTGTATAAAAATTAAAATACAAATAAATTAAAATAAAGTAAAACAAATTACTATAATAAATTATAATAATGTAATCAATTAATAAACCCTAATGATTCTATTAAACATTAAATTCTTAATACATTAATAGCAATAATATAAAATTATATTATAAAATTATTATATAAAAATTAAAATGCAAATAAATTAAAATAATCAATTAAAATAATGAATCAAAATAATAAATTCAATTATAATCAATTATAATAATGTAATAATTTATTAAATCCTAATGATTCTATTAACAATTAAATTATTAATAAATTAATATAAAACCATAAAAATTATATTACAAGTATTATATAAAAATTAAAATAAATTAAAATAATACATTAAAGTAATAAATCAAAACAATATATTAAATTATTATAATAAATTAAATTATTATAATAAATTAAACAATTTAATAAATTAATAAACCCTAATCATTACATTAACAATTATTAATAAATATCAATAATATAAAATTATGTTATAAAAACTATGCTATAAAATCATTATATAAATAAATCAAAATAATCAATTAAAATAACAAATCCAAGCAATAAATCCAAACAATCAATTAAAACATTAACAAATGAAAATGCAACCAATGCAAACCCTAAATAATTAATGAATTTAACCCTTTCCCTGCCCAGGCGGGCTCACCTTCCTTTGGCATCTCTGCTATTGACAATCTTGGCACCCAGAGCCTCCACCAGCATCTCGGCGGTGCCGTCCTGGTTGTTGATTCTGAGGGGAGAGCGCAGGGGGAGCTCGGCAGGCCTGAGCTTCGGGGGGGGTGGGATTGTTTTGGGGGGAAACTCCCCCCTCGGCCCAGGGGCTCCAAGGCCTGCGCTTCATGGGGGGTGGGATTGTTTTGGGGGGAAACTCCCCCCTCGGCCCAGCCCGGGGGCTCCAGACCCCAGAATTGTTTTGGGGGGAAACTCCCCCTTCGGCCCAGCCCGGGGGCTCCAAAGCCCAGAATTGTTTTGGGGTGAAATTCCCCCTTCAGCCCAGCCCGGGGGCTCCAAACCCCAGAATTGTTTTGGGGGGAAACTCCCCCTTCGGCCCAGCCCGGGGGCTCCAAACCCCAGAATTGTTTTGGGGTGAAATTCCCCCCTTCAGCCCAGCCCGGGGGCTCCAAGGCCTGCGCTTCATGGAGGGGGTGGGATTGTTTTGGGGTGAAACTCCCCCTTTGGCCCAGCCCGGGGGCTCCAAACCCCAGAACTGTTTTGCGGGGAAAACTCCCCCTTTGGCCCAGCCCGGGGGCTCCAAACCCCAGAATTGTTTTGGGGGGAAACTCTGCTTCTAGCCCAGCCCGGGGGCTCCAGACCCCAGGATGGTTTTGGGGGGAAACTCCCCCCACAGCCCAGCCCGGGGGCTCCAAACCCCAGAATTGTTTTGGGGGGAAACTCCCACTTTAGCCCAGCCCAGAGGCTCCAAAGCCCAGAATTGTTTTGGGGGGAAACTCCCCCCTCAGCCCAGCCCAGGGGCTCCAAAGCCCAGAATTGTTTTGGGGTGAAATTCCCCCTTCGGCCCAGCCCAGGGGTTCCAAACCCCAGAATTGTTTTGGGGTGAAATTCCCCCTTTAGCCCAGCCCAGGGGCTCCAAAGCCCAGAATTGTTTTGGGGGGAAACTCCCCCTTCAGCCCAGCCCGGGGGCTCCAAAGCCCAGAATTGTTTTGGGGGGAAACTCCCCCTTCGGCCCAGCCCGGGGGTTCCAAACCCCAGAATTATTTTGGGGTAAAACTCCCCTTTCAGCCCATCCTGAGGCTCCAAACCCCAGAATTGTTTTGGGGGGAAACTCCCCCTTCGGCCCAGCCCGGGGGCTCCAAGGTCTGGAATTATTGGAATTATTGGAATTATTTTTAGATAAAATTCCCCTTTCAGCCCAACCCAGGGGCTCCAAGGCCTGCAGTTATTGGAGTTATTGGAATTATTTTGGGTTAAAACTCCCCTTACAGGGTCTCCAAGGCATGGAATTATTAGAATTATTTTGGGGTAAAATTCCCCTTTTCAGCCCATTCCAGGGGCTCCAAAGCCTGGTATTATTTTGGGGTAAAACTCCCCTTTCAGCCCATCCCGAGGCTCCAAACCCCAGAATTATTTTGGGGTAAAACTCCCCTTTCAGCCCATCCGGGGGCTCCAAACCCAGAATTATTTCGGGGTGTCACTTACACTGCACAGTGCAATGGAGTAAAGGGATTTCCTTCTAGGTATGCAAACGGGTTGTGTTCAAGTAACAATTCAAGACAATCTTCGTGCCCTGAGGAGAGAGGAGCAGCAGCTGGAGCAGCTTTTCCAAAATCCCAAAATCCCAGAGGTTGGAAAAGCCCCCCCAAATCATCGAGTCCAAGTTGGGAGTGACCCCAAGCTGCTCAATGAGCCAGAGACCCCAAAAAGTGCCCAAAACCCTTCCCAGAGGATTCATTTCCTACTGGCAGCAGCTTGGGGAGGTTTTTATTCCACGTTTTTAATGGGTTTTAATTTCCTGAAGGAATTTAGGGTTTTAATTTCGTGAAGGAATTTAGGGTTTTAATTCCCTGAAGGACTCACAGCCCCCACAGGGATGTCCCTTCCTGATGCCTCAGTCCCACCTGCAGCCACCCAAAAATCCTGCAGGAAGCTGCTCTGGAATTGCTCCTTTCCCAAATTCATTGTTTTTTGTTTTAAGGAGCCTGACAGGGGCAGAAAGAAACCCAAAGCAAAAGGAAAAAAAACCCCAAATTTTGGAGGACATAGGGCAAGGTCTCACCACTGTAAGAGGCCCAGTGCACGGGTGAGTAACTGTTGTAGTTCACCACGGACCCAAAAAAAAACCCAAAAAAACCCCCAAAAAACCTCAAATCTCCAGAAAAATCCCAGAAAAATCCCAAAATCCCCAAAACCCAAAATGAGGTGAAGACCAGCTGGATTTTGGAGAAGCTGGATCAGGTTCTCAGCACTGTAAGAGGCCCAGTGCATGAGCGAGCAGCCACTGCAGTCCACTATGAAAGCCCCAAATAAAACCCAAAAGAATCCAGAAAACCTCCCCAAAAAATCTAGAAAAACCCCAGAAAAACCCCAAAATCCCAAGAGAAGAGGAGAGCAGGCTCTCAGCACTGTAAGAGGCCCAGTGCATGGGCGAGTAGCTGCTGTAGCCCACCACGGACCCAAAAAACCCCCAAAAAACCCCCAAAAATTCCCAGAAAACCCCCAAAAAACCCCAAAAATCCCAGGAGAAGAGAGGGCAGGCTCTCACCACTGTAAGAGGCCCAGTGCATGGGCGAGTAGCTGCTGTAGTCCACCATGGACCCAAAAATACCCCAAAAAATTCCCAAAAAAACCCCAAAACCCCCAAAAACCCAGGAGAGGAGAGGGCAGGCTCTCACCACTGTAAGAGGCCCAGTGCATGGGCGAGTAGCCGCTGTAGTCCACCATGGACCCAAAAAAGATCCCAAAAAATTCCCAAAAAAACCCCCAAAATCCGAGGAGAAGAGAGGGCAGGCTCTCACCACTGTAAGAGGCCCAGTGCATGGGCGAGTAGCTGCTGTAGTCCACCACGGACGCAAAAATACCCCCAAAACCCCCCCAAAATCCCAGGAGAAGAGAGGACAGGCTCTCACCACTGTAAGAGACCCAGTGCATGGGCGAGTAGCCGCTGTAGCCCACCACGGACTACAATCAATCTCCCCCTTCCCCCCAAAAATCCCAGGAGAAGAGGAGAGCAGGCTCTCACCACTGTAAGAGGCCCAGTGCATGGACGAGTAGCCGCTGTAGTCCACCACAGACCCAAAAAAAGGCATTGTAGTCCACCATGGACGCCAAAAAATTCCCAGAAAAACCCCAAAAACCCAGGAGAGGAGAGGGCAGGCTCTCACCACTGTAAGAGGCCCAGTGCATGGGCGAGTAGCCGCTGTAGTCCACGCCGGCGTCCAGCGGGTCGGTGGAGAGCGCGGCGCGCAGCAGCGTGCGCAGCACCTCCAGGTGCCCGCAGGCCGAGGCGAAGTGGATCGGGGTGCGGCCCTTGAAGTCCCGGCACAGGACGAAGGCATCGTGGTCCAGCAGCGCGGCCAGGCAGTCCTCGCAGCCCGTCACCGCCTGCGGCGCGGCAGCGCGGGGGTTAACGGCGAGCCCCCGGCTCTCGGCTTTTTGTGTGGTTTTGTGTGTGTGTATTTTTTAAATTTACGTATTATATGTGTATATATATTTATATTATATAAATATATATATGTATACAACATAATATATACAATATTATATATATTTATGTATATAACTATATTATATATAGTTATATTTATGTGTATATATATCTATATTTATATTTTTAATATTTTTCTGATTCTGTGCTGGCTTAGTGGGGTGCCTCAGGTTTTAGGTTTGTTTAATCCTTTATATATATAATTTATATTTATATATATATTTATATATTTTATATTTTTCAGATTCGGTGCTGGCTTAGTGGGATACCTCAGGCTTTTTTTTATATTTTCTTATGTCTATATCTATATATCTCTATATCTCATATATCTATATATATCTATATATCTACGTATCTATCTATCTATATCAATTTATCTACACCTATATCTATATCTAGCTATAGATCTATATATCTACATATCTCTATCTATATATCAATTTATCTATATCTACATATCAATATTTAATAGAATTATAACGTCTACATGATCTCACTCTTCGCATGAGACCAAAACCAGAATAAAACTTCTAAAACAACACAAACCCCCTGCGAGCGCCCCCACCCCTGGGTGGGACCAGCAGCCCAGAGCCCAGCAGGAGCCCCAGACCCCCAGAGATCCCTGACCCCCAGAGACCCCAGACCCCACTGACCCAGACCCCCAGTGACCCCAGACACCCAGTGACCCCAGACCCCCAGAGACCCCCAGTGACCCCAGACCCCACTGACCCAGACCCCCAGTGACCCCAGACCCCAGACCTCACTGACCCAGACCCCCAGTGACCCCAGACCCCACTGACCCCCCGGTGCAGCGCGGTCCGGCCCCTCTTGTCGGCGGCGTCGGCCGTGGAGCCCTTGTCCAGCAGGAGATGGACACAGTCCACGTGGCCGTTCATGATGGCCAGCATCAGAGGGGTCCTGGGGGGGACAGGGATGGAGAACGCATGGAGACCACCAAGAAACTGGAGGGGATGGGATGGAGAATTCATGGAAACCACCAAGAAACTGGAGGGGAAAGGGACGGAAAATTCATGGAAACCACCAGGAAACTGGAGGGGATGGGATGGACAATTCATGGAAACCACCAAGAAACTGGACGGGAAAGGAATGGAGAATCCATGGAAACCACCAAGAAACTGGAGGGGATGGGATGGAGAATCCATGGAAACCACCAAGAAACTGGAGGGGATGGGATGGACAATTCATGGAACCCACCAAGAAACTGGAGGGGAAAGGGATGGAGAATCCATGGAAACCACGGTGGTGAAGGACACAGGAATGGGGGTGAAGGACACTTAGGATGGTGGTGGCACCTCTGGATAAGATATTTAAGCAGGAAAAAATGGAAGGTTCTTGTGCAGAGGACGTGGGATGGACTGAGCACAGCTCCCACTCCTCAGGAAGGAGCAGAAGAGCTGGGGAAGGTCAGGAGAAGTTCCTTTGGAACCATTTTCCCTCTCACGATCCCCCCGTGATTTTATCACTAATAAACCCAATTAACGAATATCCCAAATTCCAGCCCGTTCTGGCCGTGCTGGAGCCGCTGAGGGATCTCTCCTGGTCCTTATCTCAAGCTGGGACCTCCCAGCAGGTCTCCCTGCCTGGCCCAGGTGGCTCTGGTGGCCGCAGGTGGCACTCACTGGCCGTGGATGTCCATGACGTCGGTGATGTCCGCCCGCTCGCCGCTGTCGATCAGGAGGTGCAGGGAATCCGTGTTCCCGTTGGCAGCTGGGCACAGGAACGGGGAAAACGGAGGAGGAAAAGGGAGGAGGAAAATGGAGGAGGAAAATGGAGGAGGAAATGATGGAGGAGGAAAAGGGAGAAGGAAAAGGGAGGAGGAAAAGGGAGGAGGAAAAGGGAGGAGGAAAAGGAGAGGAGGAAACGGGAGGAGGAAAAGGGAGGAGGAAAAGGAGAGGAGGAAACGGGAGGAGGAAAAGGGAGGAGGAAAAGGAGAGGAGGAAACGGGAGGAGGAAAAGGGAGGAGGAAAAGGAGAGGAGGAAACGGGAGGAGGAAAAGGGAGGAGGAAAAGGAGAGGAGGAAACGGGAGGAGGAAAAGGGAGGAGGAAAAGGAGAGGAGGAAACGGGAGGAGGAAAAGGGAGGAGGAAAAGGAGAGGAGGAAACGGGAGGAGGAAAAGGGAGGAGGAAAAGGAGAGGAGGAAACGGGAGGAGGAAAAGGGAGGAGGAAAAGGAGAGGAGGAAACGGGAGGAGGAAAAGGGAGGAGGAAAAGGAGAGGAGGAAACGGGAGGAGGAAAAGGGAGGAGGAAAAGGAGAGGAGGAAACGGGAGGAGGAAAAGGGAGGAGGAAAAGGAGAGGAGGAAACGGGAGGAGGAAAAGGGAGGAGGAAAAGGAGAGGAGGAAACGGGAGGAGGAAAAGGGAGGAGGAAATGAGGGAGGAGGAAAAGGGAGGAGGAAAAGGGAGGAGGAAAAGGAGAGGAGGAAACGGGAGGAGGAAAAGGGAGGAGGAAATGAGGGAGGAGGAAAAGGGAGGAGGAAAAGGGAGGAGGAAAAGGAAAGGAGGAAATGATGGAGGAAAAGGGAGGAGGAAAAGGGGAGGAAAATGGGATGAGGAAAAGGGAGGAGGAAAAGAGGGAGGAGGAAAAGGGAGGAGGAAAAGGAGAGGAGGAAACGGGAGGAGGAAAAGGGAGGAGGAAAAGGAGAGGAGGAAACGGGAGGAGGAAAAGGGAGGAGGAAAAGGAGAGGAGGAAACGGGAGGAGGAAAAGGGAGGAGGAAAAGGAGAGGAGGAAACGGGAGGAGGAAAAGGGAGGAGGAAAATGGGAGGAGGAAATGAGGGAGGAAGAAAAGGGGATTAGGAAAAGGGAGGAGGGAAATGGGATGAGGAAAAGGGAGGAAGAAAAGGGAGGAGGAAATGAGGGATGAGAAAAAGGGAGGAGGAAAAGGAAGGAGGAAAAGGGGAGGAGGAAAAGGGAGGAGGAAAAGGGAGGAGGAAATGAGGGAGGAGGAAAAGGGAGGAGGAAAATGGGATGAGGAAAAGGGAGGAGGAAAAGGAAGGAGGAAAAGGGGAGGAAAATGGGATGAGCAAAAGGGAGGAGGAAAATGGGAGGAGGAAATGAGGGAGGAAGAAAAGGGGATTAGGAAAAGGGAGGAGGGAAATGAGATGAGGAAAAGGGAGGAAGAAAAGGGAGGAGGAAATGAGGGAGGAGGAAAAGGGAGGAGGAAAATGGGATGAGGAAAAGGGATGAGGAAGAGGGATGAGGATAAGGGGGAGAAGGAAAAGAGGGATGAGGATAAGGGGGAGAAGGAAAAGAGGGATGAGGAAGACGGATGAGGCAGAGGAACAAGGCAAAAAGAGACAACAAAACCCCAGAAACCCCAAACCCCTCAGGAAGAAACTCATCCCCTGGGGTTTGTGGGTTCTGCTAAGCCCTGTCCCCAGCCCTTCCAGGACCCTCCCAAGACACTTTGGGAACCCTTCTGGGACCTTCAGGAGCCCCAGAACCCCTCAGGACCCAGAACCCCTCAGGAACCCTCCCAGGACATTCCAGAACCCTTCCAGAACGCTCCCAGGACCTTCCGGAGCTCCAGAACCCCTCAGGAACCCACCCAGGACACCCCCAGAACCCTTCCAGGACCTTCCCAAGACACTTTGGGAACCCTCCCAAGACCTTCAGGAGCTCCAGAACCCCTCAGGAACCCTCCCAGGACCCAAAACACCCCAAGCACCCTCCCAGGACATTCCAGAACCCCTCAGGAACCCTCCCAGGACCCAGAACACCCCAAGAACCCTCCCAGGACATCCCAGAACCCCTCAGGAACCCTCCCAGGACACACCCAGAACCCTTCCAGGACCTTCAGGAGGCCCAGAACCCCTCAGGAACCCTCCCAGGACATTCCAGAACCCTTCCAGAACGCTCCCACCTTCAGGAGCCCCAGAACACCACGAGAACCCTCCTAGGACCTTCCCAGGACACCCCCAGAACTGTCCCAGGACCTTCAGGAGCCCCAGAACCCCTCAGGAACCCTCCCAGGACATTCCAGAACTCTTCCAGAACCCTTCCAGAACCCCTCAGGAACCCTCCCAGGACCTTCCAGAACCTTTCCAGGACCTTCAGGAGCTCCAGAACCCCTCAGGAACCCTCCCAGGACGCAGAACACCACAAGAACCCTCCCAGGACATTCCAGAACTCTTCCACAACCCTCCCAGAACCCCTCAGGAACCCTCCCAGGACCTCCAGAACCCCTCAGGAACCCTCCCAGGACCCACAACACCCCAAGAACCCTCCCAGGACATTCCAGAACTCTTCCAGAACCCTCCCAGAACCCCTCAGGAACCCTCCCAGGTGCCACCTGCAGCGTGGAGAGGCGTCCACTTCCTCTTCCTCTCCTTGACCAGGGCGGAGGCGCCGTGGCTGGTGAGCACCTGCACGCACTCGCTGGCGCCGCGCTCCGTGGCCAGGTAGAGCGCGGTGCGGCCCTTGTGGTCCCGCACGTCCAGGTTCACCAGCGTCTCAGCCAGAGCCTTGAGGGCTTCACAGTGACCATTGTAGGCCTGGGCACAGGGGACACGCAGGTGGCAGGTGGAAGTGTCCCTCAGGTACCCAGAAATGTCATTCAGGAACTCAAAGTGTCCCCCAGGTGCCCAAATTTTCCCTCGGGCACCCAAAATGTCCTTCAGGTACCCAAAGTGTCCCTCAGGAACTCAAACTGTCCCTCAGGTACCCAAATGTCATTCAGGTGCCCAAAGTGTCCTTCAGGTAACCAGAAATGTCCCTCAGGAACTCAAAGTGTCCTTCAGGCACCCAAAGTGTCCCTCAGGTACCCAAAATTTCCCTCAGGCACCCAAAATGTCCTTCAGGTACCCAAAGTGTCCCCCACGTACCCGAAGTGTCCCTCAGGTACCCAAAGTGTCCCTCAGGAACTCAAAGTGTCCCCCAGGTACCTGGAGGGCACCCAAAATGTCCTTCAGGTACCCAAAGTGTCCCCCACGTACCCGAAGTGTCCCTCAGGTACCCAAAGTGTCCCTCAGGAACTCAAAGGGTCCCCCAGGTACCTGGAGGGCACCCAAAATGCCCTTCAGGTACCCAAAGTGTCCTTCAGGTACCCAGAAATGTCCCTCAGGTACCCAAAATGTCCTTCAGGTAACCAAAACTGTCCCTCAGGTACCCAAATGTCATTCAGGTGCCCAAAGTGTCCTTCAGGTAACCAGAAATGTCCCCCATGTACCCAAAGTGTCCTCCAGGTGCCTTAAATGTCCCTCAGGTACACAGAGTGTCCCCCAGGTACCCAAAATGTCCCTCAGGTACACAGAGTGTCCCCCAGGTACCCAAAATGTCCCTCAGGTACCCAGAGTGTCCCTCAGATACCCAAAGTGTCCCTCAGGTAACCAGAAACGTCCCTTGGGTACCCAGAAAAGTCCCTCAGGCACCCAAAGTGTCCCTCCCAGAAATATCTCCCCCAGAAACCTTCCAGGACCTGCAGGAGCCCAGAATCCCCTGAGAAGCCTTCCAGGACACAGAACACCTCAGGAACCCTCCCAGGACCCTCCAGAACCCTTCCAGGACCTGCAGGAGCCCAGAACCTCTCAGGAACCCTCCCAGGACCTTCCAGAACACTTTGGGAACCCTTCCAGGACCTGCAGGAGCCCAGGACACCCTGAGAACCCTCCCAGGACATTCCAGAACCTTTCCAGGACCCAGAACACCCTGAGAACCCTTCCAGGACCCTCCCAGAAAACCCCCAGGACCCTTCCAGGACCCTTCCAGGACACTTTAAGAACCCTTCCAGGTCTTGCAGGAGCCCAGAACCCCCGAGGAACCCTTCCAGAACCCTTCCAGGACATTCCAGAACCCTTCCAGGACACTTTAAGAACCCTTCCAGGTCTTGCAGGAGCCCAGAACCCCCGAGGACCCCTTCCAGAACCCTTCCAGGACCCTTTAAGAACCCTTCCAGGTCTTGCAGGAGCCCAGAACCCCCGAGGAACCCTTCCAGAACCCTTCCAGGACCCGCAGGCACTCACAGCTAAGTGCAAAGGGCTGACTGGAACGGTGCTTTCCACATCCTCCAGGCAGTTAAAGGACATTTCCAGGAGCTGCAAGGACAAAACCCCAAATCCAGAACTGACCCCGGAGCCTCCCACACCCACCCTGAGCTGCAGAAGGGACAAAAACCCCAAAAAGTCCAACCCCAAAACACCCAAAACCCCAAAAACTCCAAAAATCCCAACCCCAAAACCCCAAAAACTCCCACCCCAAAACCCCAAAAACTCCAACACCAAAACCCCAAAAACTCCCAACCCAAAGTCCCCAAACCTCTGACCCCAAAACCCCAACCTCAACACCCCAAAAACTCCAACACCAAAACCCCAAAAACTCCAACCCCAAAACCCCAAAACCTCTGACCCCAAAACCCCAAAACTCCAACCTCAAAACCCCAAAAACTCCAACACCAAAACCCCAAAACCTCTGACCCCCAAACCCCAAAACCCCCAACCCCAAAACCCCAAAAACCCCAAAACTGGGGATGGGCTATTCCAAAATTCCCATTTTTCCTGACTCCCATTCCCATCCTTTCTCTCAGGTCAAGTTTTTCAGCTCAGATTTTCTCTCCAGCTCAGATTTTCCCCATTCCTGGGGGGATTTTCTCTCTTCTCCTGGGGGGATTTTCCCTCTTTTCCTGGGGGGATTTTTCTCTCTTCTCCTGGGGGATTTTCTCTCTTTTCCTGGGGGGATTTTCCCTCTTTCCTGGATGATTTTCCCTCTTTGCCAGGGAGATTTTCCCCAGTTCCTGGAGCTGATTTCCCCCCATTTCCTGGCTGATTTTCCCCCCTTTCTTGGGGGTGTTTTCCCCCTTCCCTGGGGGTGATATTCCCCATTTCCTAGTGGATTTTCCCCCTTCCCTGGGGGTGTTTTCCCCCTTCCTTGGGGTGATTTTCCCCCTTTCCCAGGGATATTTTCCTTATTTCCTGCAGCTAATTTCCCCCATATCCTGGCTGATTTACCCCCTTCCCTGGAGCTGTTTTCCCCCTTTCCTGGAGCTGATTTCCCCCCTTCCCTATTTGTGTTTTCCCCCATTTCCTGGGACTGATTTCCCCCCCTTCCCTGGGGGTGTTTTCCCCCATTTCCTGGGGTTGATTTCCCCCCTTTCCTGGAGCTGTTTCCCCCATTTCCTGGAGCTGTTTCCCCCTTTCCTGGAGCTGATTTCCCCCCTTCCCTGGTTGTGTTTTCCCCCCATTTCCTGGTGGTGTTTTCCCCCCTTTCCTGGAGCTGTTTCCCCCATTTCCTGGAGCTGATTTCCCCCATTTCCCGGAGCTGTTTCCCCCTTTCCTGGAGCTGATTTCCTCCATTTCCTGGGGGTAACTTTGCCTATTTCCTAGTAGATTTCCCCCATTTCCTGGGGGTGTTTTCCCCCATTTCCTGGGGGTGTTTCCCCCCTTCCCCGGGTGTGTTTTCCCCATTTCCTAGAGCTGATTTCCCCCCTTCCCTAGGTGTGTTTTCCCCCATTTCCTAGGGGTGTTTTCCCCATTTCCTGGAGCTGTTTTCCCCCTTTCCTGGAGCTGATTTCCCCCCTTCCCTGGGTGTGTTTTCCCCCCTTCCCTGGGTGTGTTTTCCCCCATTTCCTGGGGGGTTTTCCCCCATTTCCTGGAGCTGATTTCCCCCCTTCCCTGGTTGTGTTTTCCCCCCATTTCCTGGTGGTGTTTTCCCCCCTTTCCTGGAGCTGTTTCCCCCATTTCCTGGAGCTGATTTCCCCCATTTCCCGGAGCTGTTTCCCCCTTTCCTGGAGCTGATTTCCTCCATTTCCTGGGGGTAACTTTGCCTATTTCCTAGTAGATTTCCCCCATTTCCTGGGGGTGTTTTCCCCCATTTCCTGGGGGTGTTTCCCCCCTTCCCCGGGTGTGTTTTCCCCATTTCCTAGAGCTGATTTCCCCCCTTCCCTAGGTGTGTTTTCCCCCATTTCCTAGGGGTGTTTTCCCCATTTCCTGGAGCTGTTTTCCCCCTTTCCTGGAGCTGATTTCCCCCCTTTCCTGGCTGATTTCCCCCTTTCCTGGAGCTGATTTCCCCCCTTCCCTAGGTGTGTTTTCCCCCATTTCCTAGGGGTGTTTTCCCCATTTCCTGGAGCTGTTTTCCCCTTTCCTGGAGCTGTTTCCCCCTTTCCTGGAGCTGATTTCCTCCCTTTCCTGGGGGTAACTTTCCCTATTTCCTAGTGGATTTCCCCCATTTCCTGGGTGTGTTTCCCCCCATTTTGTGGGGGTGTTTTCCCCTTTCCTGGAGCTGTTTCCCCCTTTCCTGGAGCTGATTTCCCCCCTTCCCTAGGTGTGTTTTCCCCCTTTCCTGGAGCTGATTTCCCCCCTTTCCTGGCTGATTTTCCCCCTTCCCTGGGGCCCATTTCCCCTCTCCTGGAGCCCTCACCAGCTCGAGGTTCTGCCGGTTGCCGTAGGCGGCCGCGTAGTGGACGGCGGTATAGCCCTGCTTGTCCCGCAGGGAGGGGTCAGCACCGTTGTCCAGCAGGAATTCCAGACAGCTGCAGTTGGGAAAAAGGACAAAAAACGAATGAAAAGGGTGAAAAAAATCTGTGGGGAAAACCCCAAAATCCCACAGAGGGTGCTGGGAGTGAGGAGGGTGGGTTTGGTTTGGAGCAGGAGCAGGTGGTTCCTCTCCCGAGGCTCTGCAGGGAGGAATTCCCAGCAGATTCCCAGTAAAACCCCAATAAATTCCCAGTATATCCCCAGTAAAACCCCAGTATATCCTCACTAAAACCCCAGTAAATTCCCAGTATATTCCCAGTAAATTCTCTGTAAAATCTCAGCAAATTCCCATTAAATGCCCAGTAAATTCCCACTTAATTACCAGTCCATTCCCAGTTAATTCCCAGTCCGTTCCCAGTCCATCCCAGTTATTTCCCAGCCCATCCCCGTTAAATCCCAGTTAAATTCCAGTCCATTCCCTGTTAAATCCCAGTCCACCCCAGTTCAATCCCAGTCCCTTCCCAGTCCCTCCCAGTCCATCCCAGTCCATTCCCAGTCCCTCCCAGCCCCTCCCAGTCCATTCCCGGTCCCTCCCAGTCCATCCCAGCCCCTCCCAGTCCATTCCCAGTCCCTCCCAGTTCAATCCCAGTCCATCCCAGTCCACCCCAGTTCAATCCCAGTCCCTTCCCAGTCCCTCCCAGTCCATCCCAGTCCATTCCCAGTCCATCCCAGTTCAATCCCAGTCCATCCCAGTCCACCCCAGTTCAATCCCAGTCCCTTCCCAGTCCCTCCCAGTCCATCCCAGTCCATTCCCAGTCCCTCCCAGCCCCTCCCAGTCCATTCCCGGTCCCTCCCAGTCCATCCCAGCCCCTCCCAGTCCCTCCCAGCCCCTCCCAGTCCATCCCAGTTCAATCTCAGTCCCTCCCAGTCCATCCCAGTTCAATCTCAGTCCCTCCCAGTCCATCCCAGTTCAATCTCAGTCCCTCCCAGTCCATCCCAGTTCAATCTCAGTCCCTCCCAGTCCATCCCAGTTCAATCTCAGTCCCTCCCAGTCCATCCCAGTCCATTCCCAGTCCATTCCCAGTCCCTCCCAGTCCATTCCCAGTCCCTCCCAGTCCCTCCCAGTCCATCCCAGTCCCTCCCAGTCCATTCCCAGCCCATCCCAGTCCCTCCCAGTCCATTCCCAGTCCATCCCAGTTCAATCCCAGTCCATCCCAGTCCCTCCCAGCACTCACAAGAACGCCTCCTTCAGCCTCGACTCCTTCAGGGGCTCCTCCTCGCTGGGTCCTGAGTGAGCCTCGGCCCTGCAAGGGCACCGCTGACAGTGACCACGGGGACACCACGGGGACACCACAGTGCCACCCCCAGTGCCACCCCCAGTGCCACCTCAGGCTGGTGACAGTGCCCCCAGTACCACCTGAGGCGGGTGCCAGTGCCCCCAGTGCCATGTCGGGCTGGTGCCAGTGCCTGTGGTGCCCCCAGTGCCACGTCAGGCTGGTGCCAGTGCCCCCAGTGCCACTCCCACTGCCACCTCAGTGCCACCTCAGGCTGGTGCCAGTGCCCCCAGTGCCACTGTCATTGCCACCTCAGTGCCACGTCAGGCTGGTGCCAGTGTCCCCGGTGCCCCCAGTGGCCCCAAGAGCTGGTGCCAGTACCCCCAGTGCCACCTCAGACTGGTGCCAGTGCCCCCAGTGCCCCCAGGAGCTGGTGCCAGTGCCCGCAGTGCCCCCACAGTGCCACATCAGGCTGGTGTCAGTGCCCGGTGCCCGCAGTGCCACCTGAGGCTGGTGCCAGTGCCCCCAGTGCCCCCAGGAGCTGGTGCCAGTGCCCCTGGTGCCCCCAGTGCCACGTCAGGCTGGTGCCAGTGCCCACGGTGCCACACCAGGCTGGTGCCAGTGCCCCCAGTGCCCCCAGGAGCTGGTGCCAGCGCCCGGTGCCCGCGGTGCCCGCGGTGCCCGCTCACCTGCGGTAGGTGTCGGAGGCAGCCGCGTAGTGCAGCGCCGTGCAGCCTTTGCCGTCGGCCTCGTTGACGGTGGCCCCGGCTGTCACCAGTGTCACCGTGCACTGGTAGCTGCCGTTGGCCGCCGCGTAGTGCAGGGGGGTCCTGGGGACACGGCAGGGGACAAAGGGTCAGCACGGCCTCGGGGACACACCCGCAGCCGTGGGGACCTTCCAGGACCTGCAGGAGCTCAGCACACACTGAGAATCCTTCCAGGACCTGCGGGAGCTCAGCATGCCCCCAGAACCCTTCCAGGACCCAGCAGAACCCTCCCAGGACACCTCAGAACCCTTCCAGGACCTGCAGGAGCTCAGCACACACTGAGAATCCTTCCAGGACCTGCGGGAGCTCAGCACACCCCCAGGACCCTTCCAGGACCTGCGGGAGCTCAGCACACACTGAGAATCCTTCCAGGACCTGCAGGAGCTCAGCACACACTGAGAATCCTTCCAGGACCTGCAGGAGCTCAGCACGCCCCCAGGACCCTTCCAGGACCCAGCAGAAGCCCAGAACATTCTGGAAACCCTTCCAGGACCCTGCCAGGACACCCTCAAAACCCTTCCAGGACCTGCAGGAGTTCAGCATGCCCCCAGAAGCCTTCCATGACCCAGCAGAAGCCCAGAACATTCTGGAAACCCTTCCAGGACCCTGCCAGGACACCCCAAGAACCCTTCCAGGACCCTCCCAGGACCCTGGAGGACACTTTTGGGACCCTTCCAGGACCTGCCGGGGTTTGGAGCCCCCATCCTGAGGCTGTCCCAGGCAGGAGCGCTGGTGTCCCTCAGGAACCCAGAAATGTCCCCAAGCCCAGTCTGGGATTTGGGGACACTGGGATGTCCCCACCCAGGTGGTCCCAGCTCTGGGATTTGGGGACACCGGGGTGTCCCCACCCAGGTGGCCCCGATCTGGGATTTGGGGACACCAGGATGTCCCCACCCAGGTGGCCCTGGGGTCCCTCACCTCCCGAACTTGTCCCTCCTCCGCAGGTCAGCGCCGCTGCTCAGCAGCAGGTTCAGACATTCAACGTTCCTGCAGGGGACAGGGACACAGGAATGTCACCAGGCCACCCAGAGTGTCCCCATGTCACCCAGAGTGTCCCCATGTCACCCAGAGTGCCACCATGTCATCCAGAGTGTCACCACGGCACCCAGAGTGTCCCCATGTCACCCAGAGTGTCACCAGGCCTCCCAAAGTGTCTCTCAGGAACCCAGAAATGTCCCCATGACAACCAAGTGTCCCCATGCCACCCAGAATGTTCCCATGCCACCCAGAGTGTCCCCCAGGCCACCCAGAGTGTACTTCAGGCACCCAGGAATGTCCCCATGTCCCCAGGTGTCCCCCCAGGTGTCCCCAGGTGTCCCCACCCTCCGGAAGCAGCAGCGTGCAGACAGGTCCTGCCCAGGCTGTCGGGGCTGTCCCATGTCCCCATATCCCCATGTCCCCAGGCTGTCCCTAGGCTATCCCCAGGTTATCCCCATGTCCCCAGGTGTGTCCCCAGGTGTCCCCACCCTCCGGAAGCAGCAGCGTGCAGACAGGTCCTGCCCAGGTTGTCGGGGCTGTCCCATGTCCCCATATCCCTATGTCCCCATATCCCTATGTCCCCATATCCCTATGTCCCCATATCCCTATGTCCCCATATCCCTATGTCCCCATATCCCTATGTCCCCATATCCCTATGTCCCCATATCCCTATGTCCCCATATCCCTATGTCCCCATATCCCTATGTCCCCATATCCCTATGTCCCCATATCCCTATGTCCCCATATCCCTATGTCCCCATATCCCTATGTCCCCATATCCCTATGTCCCCATATCCCTATGTCCCCATATCCCTATGTCCCCATATCCCTATGTCCCCATATCCCTATGTCCCCATATCCCTATGTCCCCATATCCCTATGTCCCCATATCCCTATGTCCCCATATCCCTATGTCCCCATATCCCTATGTCCCCAGGCTGTCCCCAGGTGTGTCCCCAGGCTGTCCCCAGGTGTCCCCACGTCCCCACCCTCCGGAAGCAGCAGCGTGCAGACAGGTCCTGCCCAGGTTGTCGGGGCTGTCCCCATGTCCCCAGGCTGACCCCCGGCTATCTCCAGGTGTGTCCCCAGGCTGTCCCCATGTCCCCAGGTGTCCCCACCCTCCGGAAGCAGCAGCGTGCAGACAGGTCCTGCCCAGGTTGTCGGGGCTGTCCCCATGTCCCCAGGCTGTCCCTAGGATGTCCCCAGGTTATCCCCATGTCCCCAGGCTGTCCCCATGTCCCCAGGTGTCCCCACCCTCCGGAAGCAGCAGCGTGCAGACAGGTCCTGCCCAGGTTGTCGGGGGTGTTGATGTCGAAGCCGGCGCTCAGCACGTGCTCGTTGCTCAGCGAGGACACGATGCTGTACAACTGACCTGGGGGTGGCACGGGGGGACAGCGGCGTCACCCGCCTGTCCCCGAGGGTCACCCGGGCGGGGCTGGCACGGGGACAGGCTCACCTGAGGAAAGCAGCTTGCGACAACAGTCGGAGAAGCCGAAGAGAACGGCCAAGTGCAGGGGGAACATGTCGTGGATGCCACGCCTGAGGGACAGGAGAGGGGGGTCAGGAATTGGGATTTTGGGATTGAAACCTCCTCACGGGGTTCCAGTTTTGGGATTCAAGTCTTGTCAAGTAACCTCAGTGGTTTTTTTAAATTTTGGGATTAAAAGGTCCTGATTTTTTAAAGTTTTTTTAATTTAATTTCGATTTTTTAAAAATTTAATTTTAAATTTTTTTAATTTTTGGGATTAAAAATATCCTCGATTTTTTTTTCATTTTGGGATTAAAACGTCCTGATTTTTTAAAAGTTTTTTAAAATGTAATTTTAATTGTTTTTAAATGTAATTTTAGGGGTTTTTTTTAAATTTTGGGATTAAAACGTCCTAATTTTTTAAAAGTTTTTTTTAAATGTAATTGTAATTTAATTTTAATTTTTTAAAAATTTTGGGATTAAAAATCTCCTCGATTTTTTTTTTTCATTTTGAGATTAAAACCTCCTAATTTCTTTTAAGTTTTTTAAAATTTAATTTTAATTTTTTTTTTAATTTAATTTTAAATTTTTTTAAATTTTGGGATTAAAAATCTCCTCGATTTTTTTTTTTCATTTTGAGATTAAAACCTCCTAATTTCTTTTAAGTTTTTTAAAATTTAATTTTAATTTTTTTTTTAATTTAATTTTAAATTTTTTTAAATTTTGGGATTAAAAATCTCCTCGATTTTTTTTTCATTTTGGGACTAAGACCCTTCCAAGACCCTTTAGGAGCCCAGAACATTCTAGAAACCCTTCCAGGAGCTCAGAACATTCTAGAAACCCTTCCAGGACCCTCCCAGAACACCCCTAGAACCCTTCCAAGACCCTTTAGGAGCCCAGAACATCCTGGAAACCCTTCCAGGACCCTCCCAGAACACCCCCAGGACCCTTCCAGGGCCCAAAAAGAGCCCAGAACATTCTGGAAACCCTTCCAGGACCCTCCCAGAACACCCCTAGAACCCTTCCAAGACCCTTTAGGAGCCCAGAACATTCTGGAAACCCTTCCAGGACCCTCCCAGAACACCCCCAGGACCCTTCCAGGACCCAAAAAGAGCTCAGAACATTCTAGAAACCCTTCCAGGACACTCTGGGAACCCTTCCAGGAGCTCAGAACATTCTAGAAACCTTCCCAGGACCCTCCCAGAACACCCCTAGAACCCTTCCAAGACCCTTTAGGAGCCCAGAACATTCTGGAAACCCTTCCAGGACCCTCCCAGAACACCCCTAGAACCCTTCCAAGACCCTTTAGGAGCCCAGAACACCCCAGGACCCTCCCATGACCCTTCCAGGACCCTCCCATGACCCCCCCAGAAGGTTCTGGAAGGGCCAGCCCGGGCTCACCTGGCAGTGTCAGCACCATTGGTCATTAGCGTACTAATTAGCAGCTCGTGGCCGTATCTAGCAGCGACGTGCAGGGGGGTATTGCCGTACTTGTCAGCACAGTCGATCTCACTGCCTGCGGGGCACAGCCTCTGCTCTGCTCCGGAACATTCCGGGCTCCCAAATCCCACAATTCCCACCCCAGAGACAAAGTCCTGGGATTTCCAAACCCGGGGATGGATCCGGGCTCCAAAATCCCAGAATTTCCACCCCAGAGACAAAATTCTGGAATTTCCAAACCTGGGGATGGATTCGGGCTCCAAAATCCCAGAATTTCCAACCCAGGGATGGCCCCGGGCTCTGAAATCCCAGAATTCCCACCCCAGAGACAAAATCCTGGGATTTCCAAACCCAGGGACAGATATGGACTCAAAAATTCTGGAAGCTCCAAACCAGGGATGGCCCCGGGCTCTGATATCCCAGAATTCCCACCCCAGAGACAAAATCCTGGGATTTCCAAACCCAGGGATGGCCCCGGGCTCTGAAATCCCCAAATTCCCACCCCAGATCCAAAATCCCAGAATTTCCACCCCAGAGCCAAGACCCTGGAATTTCCAAACCTGGGGACGGATCCGGGCTCCCAAATCCCAGAATTCCCACCCCAGAGACAAAATCCTGCGATTTCCAAACCTGGGGATGGATTTGGGCTCCAAAATCCCAGAATTTCCACCCCAGAGGCAAAATTCTGGAATTTCCAAACCCGGGGACGGATCCGGGCTCCCAAATCCCAGAATTCCCACTCCAGAGACAAAATCCTGGGATTTCCAAACCCGGGGACGGATCCGGGCTCCCAAATCCCAGAATTCCCACTCCAGAGACAAAATCCTGGGATTTCCAAACCCGGGGACGGATCCGGGCTCCCAAATCCCAGAATTCCCACTCCAGAGACAAAATCCTGGGATTTCCAAACCCGGGGACGGATCCGGGCTCCCAAATCCCAGAATTCCCACTCCAGAGACAAAATCCTGGGATTTCCAAACCCGGGGACGGATCCGGGCTCCCAAATCCCAGAATTCCCACCCCAGATCCAAAATCCTGGAATTTCCGAACCCAGGGACAGATATGGGCTCAAAAATTCTGGAATTTCCAAACCAGGGATGGCCCCGGCTCCAAAATCCCGGAATTCCCACCCCAGAGACAAAATCCTCGAATTTCCAAACCCGGGGACAGATACTGGCTCCAAAATCCCAGAATTCCCACCCCAGAGACAAAATCTTGGGATTTCCACACCCGGGGACAGATACGGGCTCAAAAATTCTGGAATGTCCAAACCAGGGATGGTCCCAGCACTGAAATCCTGGAATTCCCACCCCAGAGCCAAAATCCTGGAATTTCCACCCCAGGGACAGCCCCAGATCCAAAATCCTGGAATTCTGGAGGATGTAATGGGAATATTGGGAGAAATATTGGAATATTGGAGGATCTGATGGGAATTTTGGGAAAAACATTGGAATTTTGAAAGATCTGATGGGAATTTTGGGAAAAATATTGGAATTTTGGAGATTTCTGAGAGGAATTTTGGGAAAAATATTAGAATTTTGGAGATTTCTGAGAGGAATTTTGGGAAAAATATTGGAATATTGAAAGATCTGATGGGAATATTGGGAAAATATTGGAATATTGGAGATTTCTGAGAGGAATTTCGGGAAAAATATTGGAATTTTGGAGGAACTGATGGGAATATTTGGAAAAACATTGGAATACTGAAAGATCTGATGGGAATACTGCAATTTTGTGACAGGAACATTGGGAAAAACACCTCAAGATCCCCCTGGGGAGTTTGGGTGATGACTTGGGAGGGTGTGAACCCCCCTCCCTGAGCCCCCAGGAGGTCCTGGGAGCTCCAGGAAAATTTGGGATGAAGCAGGGAGGTCTCACTGACCGTTCTGGATGAGGATCTGCGAGCGCGTGAACCGTCCGTGGATCGCCGCCATGTGCAGGGGGCTCTTCCCTTCCTTGCTCTGCAGGGACCCCCAGGAGGGGCTCAGCCACGGCCCGAAAGCAACAAAAATCCCAAAACCTCCCCAGAAACCCAAAACCACCCCAAAAACCACAACAACGACCCCAGGAGGGGCTCAGCCACAGCCCAAAAGCAACAAAAATCCCAAAACCTCCCCAAAAACCCGAAACCACCCCAAAAACCCGAAACCACCCAAAAAACACAACAATGCCCACAGGAGGGGCTCAACCACACCCCAAAACCCCTCAAAAGCCTGAAACCACCCCAAAAAACACAACAACGCCCACAGGAGGGGCTCAGCCACACCCCAAAATCACCCCAAAAACACAAAACCACCCCAAAACCACCCAACACCCCTAGGAGGGGCTCAGCCACACCCCAAAATCACCCCAAAAACACAAAACCACCCCAAAACCACCCAACACCCCTAGGAGGGGCTCAGCCACAGCCCAAAACCAACAAAAATCCCAAAACCTCCCCAAAAATGCCTAAACCACCCCAAAAAACACAACAATGCCCACAGGAGGAGCTCAGCCACAGCCCAAAAGCAACAAAAATCCCAAAACCTCCCCAGAAACCCGAAACCACCCCAAAAAACACAACAACGCCCACAGGAGGAGCTCAGCCACAGCCCAAAAATCCAAAACCTCCCAAAAAACCTAAACAACCCCAAAAACCCAAAACCACCCCAAAAACCACAACAACGACCCCAGGAGGGGCTCAACCACACCCCAAAACCTCCTCAAAAACCTGAAACCATCCCAAAAAACACAACAATGCCCACAGGAGGGGCTCAACCACACCCCAAAACCCCTCAAAAACCTGAAACCACCCCAAAAAACACAACAACGCCCACAGGAGTAGCTCAGCCACAGCCCAAAAGCACCAAAAATGCCTAAACCACCCCAAAAACCTGAAACCACGCCCAGGAGGGGCTCAGCCACAGCCCAAAAGCAACAAAAATCCCAAAACCTCCCCAAAAACCTGAAACCACCCCCAGGAGGGGCTCAGCCACAGCCCAAAACCAACAAAAATCCCAAAACCTCCCCAAAAACCACCCAACACCCCTAGGAGGGGCTCAGCCACACGCCAACACCTTCCCCATCCATCCAACCCCAAAATTTTGAGGATCCCTGAACTGGAGCCACACCCCAACGCCCCCTGACCCCAAACCCTGATGTCCCTCACCTGGAACCACACCCCAAGACCATCCCTGACCCCAGATCCCAAAGATCCCATACCAGGAATGACAGCCCAAGACCATCCCTGACCCCAAATCCAAAGGATCCCATACCTGGAACCACACCCCAACACCATCCCTGACCCCAGATCCCAAAGATCCCATACCTGTAACCACACCCCAACACCTTCCCCAAACCACACCCCAACACCTTCCCCACCTAACCCCAAATCCCAAGGATCCCATACCTGGAACCACACCCCAACACCATCCCTAACCCCAAATCCTAAGGATCCCTGACCTGAAGCCACACCCCAACACCATCCCTAACCCCAAATCCTAAGGATCCCTGACCTGAAGCCACACCCCAACACCATCCCTAACCCCAAATCCTAAGGATCCCTGACCTGAAGCCACACCCCAACACCATCCCTAACCCCAAATCCTAAGGATCCCTGACCTGAAGCCACACCCC